ATATATATATGAAGAGTTTATTTGCCAAAACAGATAATTTTTTTAATCTAATTTGTATTATGCAACCATGTTTTTATTGTGTCAGTTAGCTGTATTTTTAGTTATTTTTTAATCTAATCAAAATAACCCAGCTGCAGTTTGATTGAGAATGCACAATGAAAAAACATGATTTTTGAAAACTGAGTTTTTGCAAATGAACTCTTCATATACAGTAAGAAAGCTGATTCACTGCGTTTCGTGTCTGAGTGATTCAGGAGTCGTGTGGAGCTCGTCATACTCTCACAGATGAGACTGAGATCTAATCGATTGAATCGTCTGGTGCATTTAGTGCAGAGACACTCAAACCAGAGGCGGCCCACGGTGACCTTTGACCTGAAATGAAAAAACATGATTTTTGAAAACTGAGTTTTTGCAAATGAACTCTTCATATACATGTGTGTGTATATATATATATGTGTGTGTGTGTATATATGTGTGTGTGTATATGAAGGCCCTCAGTCTAGTTAGATTTTTGCCCTTCATCGTGAGGAGTTTCCTCTGATTTAATGTGTTGTGGACTTCTGATATTGTACTGTATGTGATGGTATATGTTTACTTTTTGGACCAAAAGTTGAGTAAGTCTTGATAATATAAGATAAAGGATTAGTTCAGGCAGAAATCATCATTCTGTCATCATTTACTCTCTCTCATGTCATTTAAACCTGCTTGAGTTTCTTTCTTCTGATATTTGAAGAACCAAACAACATTAGACCCCGCTGTCTTTCATTAAATTGACATTTCTTAAAATATCTTCTTTTGTGTTCCACCGAAGAGAGAAAAGAAGGTCCTTTAACCAGCTGTAATTTCATACGTTAATTAAAACAAATTTAAAGCATTTTTTAAATTACTAGCATTTCTGCATTGCTTGTGACGGCAGAACTGAGGACAGTGAATTATTCACATAAATACCAAAATAATCGAAAATATGATTCTTTCTTATTTATATGACTTTGTCTCATTTTTAGTTCTGTCAAAAAGTGCAAAGCAGAATTTCCCTGATTTTAACTTTTAATTTGTATAAATGTGTTAATGTAAAGTCACTTTTTTGTAAAGAAGGAAAACGTAATTGAAGAGGCATAATAATGAAGTTTCAAGCTATTATTATCTGTCCTCTAAAGAAGCACTTTTTCATTCTGAGATAGAAGGTTGTAGTAATTGACGAATGATGCATTCATGCTGCAGATTATTTGAAGGCATGCTAAATGTCCATTCAGCTCATTTTCCTTTAAACGGGCATAGAGTTCAGTCGTTGTGAATGATTGTATGCGTGTGTAGAGTTATCGTCTGCACGGCTTCTTGATTTGATCAGATTCTCCAGGTTTAAATGCGTCTGCTCTGTTTCTAAGTAAACTGGAAAGTTTCTGGGTGTCTGTCAGAAATGTTTTCTTGCTGGAATGGCAAAAGTTCTTTCTGTAGTAGGTTTTTATTATAAATAACAGAGCAAAATGTGTATATGGTCTGTTAATGCTGTAAGGAGGTGCTGAGTGGCTTTCAGTGGCAATGATTTCACAGAAACCATCGCTGAGAATATTTCCATGTGTAGAGACCGTGCGACTGATCCAGACTTTCATATTTACAGTTTGTGATCATTGTGTGCTACACGGCCGGTTCTGTTCATTATAGAATCTGTGGAGCAATGAATGCGATCCAACTGATCCAGTTTATATTCAGAATAGATTCCATTTAAATTCAGAACAGATCCAGTTAAAACTGAGAACAGAAGCGGTTCAGATTCAGAGCCGTGTGTTTGAGGACGTGATTTAAACACCGTCTGATCCAACAGACATCAATCATAAAGTTCTTGAGCTCTTTCATGCAGTTTTCAGAAAGAAACGAGTGTGTGTAGAAGTGTGATTGTCTCCAGAATGAACGACTGAGACGGTGAGATGAAACCCAAGCTCTGCGGCTCGTGCAGGAGTTCCTGTGACGCGCTTCTCTCCTGCAGCTTCAGCTCCTTCTTTTGTTCTTCTGAACACCACATTTCAATTCTTCTTTCTGTCCTGCTCTGTTTTCACATCTTTCCTCTCCAATCCATGTGCTTCTTAATGTCAAGCACAGCTGTATTTGGTGAGTGTCACGGTCATTTGTTCTAGTCTTTAGTGATTCTTCATTACTTTTTGCTTCATTTAATGTTTTAATTTATTTGTGTATCTGTGGTTATTAAGATGCTTTTTGTGTTGTGAATCTCATGGGGTTGGTGTGCGTGCGTGCGTGTGTGTGAGTGTGTGTGTGTGTTTGTGTGTGTGTGTGTGTGTGTGTGTGTGAGTGTGTGTGTGTGTGTGTGTGTGAGAGAGAGAGTGAGTGTGTGTGAGTGTGTGTGTGTGTGTGTGTGTGAGAGAGAGAGTGAGTGTGTGTGAGTGTGTGTGTGTGTGTGTGTGTGAGAGAGAGAGTGAGTGTGTGTGAGTGTGTGTGTGTGTGTGTGTGTGAGAGAGAGAGTGAGTGTGTGTGAGTGTGTGTGTGTGTGTGTGTGTGAGAGAGAGAGTGAGTGTGTGTGAGTGTGTGTGTGTGTGTGTGTGTGAGAGAGAGAGTGAGTGTGTGTGAGTGTGTGTGTGTGTGTGTGTGTGAGAGAGAGAGTGAGTGTGTGTGAGTGTGTGTGTGTGTGTGTGTGTGAGAGAGAGAGTGAGTGTGTGTGAGTGTGTGTGTGTGTGTGTGTGTGAGAGAGAGAGTGAGTGTGTGTGAGTGTGTGTGTGTGTGTGTGTGTGAGAGAGAGAGTGAGTGTGTGTGAGTGTGTGTGTGTGTGTGTGTGTGAGAGAGAGAGTGAGTGTGTGTGAGTGTGTGTGTGTGTGTGTGTGTGAGAGAGAGAGTGAGTGTGTGTGAGTGAGTGTGTGTGTGTGTGAGAGTGTGTGTGTGTGTGTGTGAGCCTCATCTGGTGTCAGGCTGTTTGTGTTTGATTCTTCACACCTTTGCTAGTTAACCCTAGTTAACACGGCTTGGAAACCATTGAAGTTTCTCCATCTGTCCTTCCCGAACTCAAATGATGATTGGTTGTGATTAATAAACGCGCAGTATTGGACGGAAAATGCAAAAATCCGTCAGACGATCATCCTTCCTGTCGCCGCAGCCGTTGATCCGGACGCAGCTCGCAGCGGAGGGCGAGGGATTTTGTGTTTTCGGAAACTTGCGAGCGTTTCGAAACGAGCTGATACTGATGGGAGCGAGGGGCACGTGGGCGACGGGGGGAGGCGTCTCAAACACCTTTTTCACAAGACAGGAAGACGAAAGGAGAGATAGAAAGAAGAAAGAGAGGAAGAAAGAGGTCCAGATCCCCACCGGAGAGCGTCGAACCCCGACGTTTGTTGAAAGAAGCAGGAGAGACGGCTCAGAGACAGACAGACGGATGCTATGACACAGACAGCGGTGCAGGTTTTGTCGACGGTGCCCTGCTTCACTATGAAGGGCCGAACGGTAGGATCCGGGGCCTTATTAAATGTGACCGCAGAAACACGTGTGTGTGTGTGTGTGTGTGTGTTTGTGAGAAAGTCTTGGGCTTGATGTGTGAGTGAATGAGGCTGAACTGAAGTGGGGCTTGTGGTTCGTTAGTGACTAATCTGCTCCGTCTCATTTGTGTAACATTACCAGAAGCCTTAAGACGCCACACCTGTTCCTGGGAAATCTTGTTCCGTGTGTGTGTGTGTGTGTGTGTGTGTGTTTTGGATCAGGTTAATCAGGTGTTGGAGTGTACTGTTGTTAAGCAGCACTCATGGGTTTGGGAGGCCAGTATTATGGGCTGTACGGAGCCACCGGTCGTTAGGGGAAGCGGAGAGGTCGCCGGGGTGTTGGTGGAAAGTTCTGGGCTCAGGTGTGTGTGTGTGTGAGAGTGTGTGTGAGTGAATCTGGGATGTACATGTTAAGCCTAAAGTTTGTCTTGCTTGTGTTTGTGTTCGGGGTCCCAGAGTCGCCAGCGATGGGCCTGTAAAAATAGGCTTCAGATGCTTCAGATGCATTTATTATTTTGCCATAATATTCTGTGAGTATTATAATCATTTTATAATCATTACAACACGCTTGAGTCTTTAACTATTTTATCACGAAGAAGTTTTTGTGACTGTTAATCAGTTTAGTAACGCTGCTTCTGTTTGGGGTCTGTTTGAAAAACACATACAAAAAGACAATAAAACGGTGATATAACATTTGTAGTGTGTTCATTAAAATGTAGGTGTGACTTTTGAATGTGT